GAAACAGATCTATCTAACCTGTTAGCACTTTTTATTGGTAGGCAGTTTCTCATTTTCTTTGGTTTCTTGATTCTTTTGACTGAGCAACAATCTTGATATTTTATTGGTTGTAAACTTATCTCTTACAAAGAAGTTAAATTGGATAGTTCAATGTCTCATTTATGCCTCGCTTTTGGAGCTTAATTTCTCATTTATGCTTGATTGCTCTTCTATTCTCTTATTTCCTGCTCTGATATGCAGAGCCACAAGCTTCTGTTCTTTATCTCTAGAAAACTTGTTGATTGTTTATTGGTAACATTCTTGCAGATTGATCGGTCAGTCTTTGGTATTAACTGAAGAGATCTTATATCACTGTATTGATTATAGGGTGGGAAAACAAACTGGCCTACTTTTAGATCAGGAATTTCAAGCAGGTTTTAGCGGAATGAGATTGGCATTGTGATAGTAGAAGTTGTTCTCTGTTTGAAGGAATTTAGAGCTAAACAAACAATGAGGGGAAGATCTGACGGAGGCCAAAGGAAGCGTCTGATCACTTCAGTGTGTGTGGTGGCAGTCTTTCTTGCTTTTGTATATGTATTCTACGGATCTATCTTTGGCTCGTCCAGTCGGGGTGCCTCTGCTCTGGAATACGGAAGCAGATCATTGAGAAAATTAGGTTATTTGGGTGGGGATGACGAGGAGGCCAAGCAAGATGAATCTTCAACAAAATTTGGACTTGAAGATGGTGAAGGTGATATCATACTCAAAAGTTTCCCTGTAAGTTCTTTAAGGCCTTTGTACGATACACTTTCTACTTCCTCCTCTATTAGGATGATAAGAAGCTCGTATTCTCATGCCTCGGTTTTATCAACAATGTTTTAACTTGTTTGCATCACAATTGAAGGTCTGTGATGATCGGCATTCAGAACTAATTCCCTGCCTAGACAGGAATCTTATATACCAATTAAGATTGAAGCTGGACTTGTCTGTCATGGAGCACTATGAACGTCACTGCCCTCCTCCTGAAAAGCGATACAACTGCTTGATTCCTCCCCCGCCAGGGTATAAGGTGGGACACTTGAGCTCAATTATTAGAATGATATTTAAGTTGTTATGGTGTTTACCGTACAATATCTGAGATGCATGTATTACTGTTTCCATGTCCTACAATTATACAGATTCCCATTAAGTGGCCCAAAAGCAGAGATGAAGTATGGAAAGCAAATATACCTCATACTCACCTTGCACATGAGAAATCTGACCAGAACTGGATGGTTGTAAAAGGTGAAAAGATTGTATTTCCTGGAGGAGGCACTCATTTTCACTACGGAGCTGACAAATATATTGCCTCAATTGCAAATGTAAGACTGCTGGCCCCTATCAACTCACTCTAAAGGAGGGAGGCAAACATGACTTTGTTTTCCTTGTCCTCTTTTGTTAAGTTTTTCTTTTTTTTCTTTTTTTTTTTTCAAGATCTCAAATCTTAAGAAGGTTGTGTCCTTTGTTCTCTCTCTTGTTTGTGGAAACCCATATCTAATTGCAAATATTTTGCTCCTAAGTAGTCATTTGTAATGACTTCACTCATATGTGGTTGCAATTGACAGATGCTCAACTTTTCACATAGTAATTTGAACGATGAAGGAAGGTTACGTACAGTTCTTGATGTTGGCTGCGGTGTTGCAAGTTTTGGAGCTTATCTCCTTTCCTCTAATATAATAGCTATGTCTTTAGCACCCAATGATGTGCATCAGAACCAAATCCAATTTGCTCTGGAAAGAGGAATTCCTGCATATCTTGGTGTTTTGGGGACCAAGAGATTGCCATACCCTAGTAGATCATTCGAACTTGCTCATTGTTCTCGTTGTAGGATTGATTGGCTTCAGAGGGATGGCATCCTTCTTCTTGAACTAGATAGGTTACTAAGACCAGGTGGCTATTTTGCCTACTCATCTCCAGAAGCATATGCACAAGATGAAGAGGATCTCAGAATATGGAGGGAGATGAGTGCCCTTGTGGAACGCATGTGTTGGAGAATAGCTGCAAAGAGGAACCAAACTGTAATTTGGCAAAAACCTTTGACAAATGATTGTTACATGGAAAGAGAACCTGGCACTCAACCTCCTCTCTGCCGCTCAGATGATGATCCAGATGCGGTCGCGGGTGTGCATATGGAAGCTTGCATCACACCATATTCTGAACGTGAGTGTCCTTGTGTTCAAAATTCCTTGTTTCTTGTTTGCTCCTTCCCTCTCAGACAAATTGTCCAACTTTTTGTTTTGCACTTTATTAAATGCTCTTAATCTTTTTTCTTGATAAGATTTTATCTTTTTCAGAGGATTTTTTCACTTTTAGTCGAGTGAAAAGTGAATAACCCACTTAGCCAGGGAAGCTGAATAAAAGCTACCTAAGCTTAGAAATGAATATTGCACACTCATTACTTTAATCATGAAGTTAATCTGCACCTTAACCTTGATTAATATTGACCTTTGTTTCTTCTTTCCTTTCGGCTTGCTTATTTCTAAGGCATCATTGATATCGTCTTGTTTATCCAGGCAATTGGCAGCTGGCTAAACCCTCGCACTTCTGAAAACCTAGGATGCAATCTTCTACTAAAAACTGACTGATGATGGCTAATATATACATGATTTGTATTGCTTTTAGGGGTACACATTTCAGGTTTAGATTTACTAAAACATGTAATATGAAGTTGTAGCAGCTTATGTTTTAGCATAATGATCAGATGAAGTTCTAATTTATTCACAAGAGATTAACTTTTTCCTGCAGTTTGAGATATGCAACTTTCTGCCTTGGACCCTCGTAACATGTATTCATACATGTAGTTTACCTCTCTGGTGTCAGTAATTAGTTTGGGAATTTCTCTGCTTGTTGTCTCTCATCTCCTAAGTAGATTTCTGATTTGCATGGATGCTAAAAAATTATTTGTTTAACTCATGCATGGTGATACAGTTTTGCAATTTGTTGTTTGAATGGATATGAAACTCGGTCTTGAAAGTGCATGCTGACAAGAACTACTTCTGGTTCTGACAGATGACCATAAAGCCAAGGGGAGTGGATTAGCACCTTGGCCAGCTAGATCAACTGCACCTCCTCCCCGACTTGCAGATTTTGGTTATTCAAGTGACATGTTTGAAAAGGACACGGTAAATAGGAGCAGCATTCTTCCATCTGTCTTCATTAACTTCCATTTACCTGTGCATATTCTGATGCACTACCCAATAAGAACATGGGCTTAATTTTTTTTTACAGGAACTTTGGCGACAAAGAGTGGATAGTTATTGGAATCTTCTGAGTCCAAAGATTCAGTCTGACACCCTGAGAAATATAATGGACATGAAAGCAAACATGGGTTCGTTTGCAGCTGCTCTGAAGGACAAAGATGTATGGGTAATGAATGTTGTCCCTGAGGATGGACCAAATACACTTAAGTTGGTATATGACAGAGGTCTGATTGGCGCTATTCACAACTGGTAAGATTCTAGTTGACTCGTTAGCATTTCTAGTTGATTTATTGCATTATGCACCTTTTATGTTTTCAGTCTGTTAATATCCTTCTTTTCTACCATTAGCCATCATATTGTATTTTCTTTTAGTAATCCCCACTTCTGCAATCCTTTGAGAATTTGCTTCTAGTATCATATGAATCACTGCCCACTGGCAGCATCTTTTTTTGGAGGATGGAGGTTTATATTTTGGTTAGTAGGTTTAGGGAGTGGAGTAGGTCCATTTTATGGGGATAACATACTCCCTGCCAAATCACTGAAGTAGCTGGTGATGGTGCTATTCCATGTAGCTTTTGTAAATTCATGTTTTCAACTCTATCAATAAAGCCTGCTTTCCTTCTATTGAATAAATGATGACTATTAGAAATCATAACCATTGGGTTGCTGGAAAATGATGAAACACGATGTGTAAGTGTTCGATACTGATTCAGAATTCTATTGACTTTTGTAGGTGTGAAGCCTTTTCAACATATCCCCGGACCTATGATTTACTCCATGCTTGGACTGTGTTTTCGGACATTGAGAGGAAAGGCTGCAGTGCTGAGGATCTGTTGCTGGAGATGGACCGTATGCTCAGGCCTAGTGGTTTCATCATCATTCGGGACAAACAAGCAGTAGTTGATTTTGTAAAGAAGTATTTAGTGGCTTTGCACTGGGACACAGTGGCAACAGATTCCAGTTCAGATTCAGATCATGGTGGGGACGATGTAGTATTCATTATCCAAAAGAAGATGTGGTTGACAAGCGAAAGCCTCAGAGATACAGAATAGGACAATTACTGCTCACCGTATCTGCAACTCCAGGGGGATTAAAGAAATATATCCCCATTAAGTGGATAGTGGAGG